TTTTCTTCTAGTTTTATTTTCTTTCTTTTTTTTTGTTTTGTCTTTGATTGTTGTTATTTTTTTTCCTTTTCGCTTTATTTCCCTCACAGACAAGCACGCAAAAGCCGCGCTTCATAAAGACACCAGTAAAGCAGCAGAAGGGACAGACGGCGACAGTTGCGGCCACCGCACGACAAGAAACCGCACTTTACAGACACACATACACAGAGGCCAGACAACTCCACGGGTCCATGCGTTGCACGCGGAAGTGGGGGAAGGCAAAGCGCGGACACAAAATAAAAGTCGTGTCGGAAACAGAGACAAGAAAGAAGTAAAAGTGAATGCGGCAAGGAGGCGGCCCCGCCCCAACTGCACATGCGTCTCACCCCCGCCTCACTCCCTCCCTCCCTCCCTCCCTCCTTCGCTTGAAAAGAAACCGTCTGCACCGCGGGGATCAGCTTTATTGTCCATGCCCACAACTATCACGCGCAATAGATATTATATATGCAGGCATTGCCAACTGTGGCATTCCCTCGTTGGATTAGGTATAGGCGCAGCAGCATAGCTTGATACCCCGGTAACCACGGCCGCCGTGGCACCTGCCTGCAGCGACGGAGATGTGGGGAGCTGGCCATGGCCCACCCACGGTGAGGCATGCAGGCGCCCTCACTGAGGAAGGCAAATACGAAAAGGCAAACGCAGCGGGTCCAACATGCGAGAATGCAGCGGCGGCGAGTACAGTCGACATCGCGGCTGTCGTAAGCGTGGAAAGTCAAGAGTTTTGAGCTCCACCAGGAAAAAAAAAAACAACAACAACAACGAATCGAGCAAACATCCACACAGACGCACTCCATCCCGCCCTCGCACAGCACCATGCTGAGCCCCAACTAGCAACCCCCTCAAGAAAAGAAAAGATGGCACGACCAAGTCACGAGAAAATGAAGGAAGAACAACAATAACAAAAAAAAACAGAAAACGAATTATTAAGACTAGGTAATAGGCTATAGAAATAAAACCCGTATGGATATATATATATATATATACCTAGAAAATGTAGGTATGCATGTTTATCTTTTGTTCTTTTAGTCATCCGTTTTAAAACGCCCCCCTCGGCTCTTTTGATTATTTTTTTTTTTTTGTCTTTGCTTCAGGGAACTCTTTTGTTTGTTTGTTTAAAGAGAGGAGAAAAAAAAAGGGACTTTACTCATCACCCTTCGCGGTGTGTCTAAACCGTCTCCTGGAATGCATATAAGGTTTTGATATAGTGTAGTTATATAGTGCGGATATATATATATATAGTGAACGGGGCAGGGAGAAGTAAAAAATGCCTCACCGAGAGAATGCAATTATGATAAATGGGTGGTGCGTGATGTCAAGCTACCCCCTCGGCGCTTCCGCTTCTTCTTTCGGTTGCTTGGTTGTTTTTCCGTGGCGTGCAGCCGCCTTCCCCTGTCGCCCTCCCAAACTCTGCGTCGCCGCTTCCTTGCCCTGCCCGGTTAAGGAGAGCGTCGCCTTTTTTTCTTTTCCTTTTCTTTGTTATTCGTCCCCCGTGCGACACCCTCTCTGCGGAACGCGGGCGTGAACGGAGGGGAGAAGAAGTCGCCATCAATGGGGGGCGGCCGCGGAGTCCAGCGAGATCGCCGCGATGACGGTCCTGCTCTTCTCCCACGTCATTCCACGCATCCACGGGTGCTGCAGCAGCGCGGTGGAAGTCAACTCCGCCGCCGCCGCGGTACCGCCTCGCCTGGCGTCGTCGAAGTCGTCACCGCCAGCGCGCATGTGGCGGCTGCCGTTTTCCTTCTCGTTGCTCCTCGCCCACGGCGACGGCGGCTCTTGTGCGGCGCCGGCAGGCGCGTCCGGCGGCCGGCTTTGGGCCGCGGTCCAGGCCGCGAAGGGCACCAGCACGTCGTACCCAACGCAGGCCTCAGACATGTCTGAGGGCCCACTCCCCTCGGCGGCGTCCCCAGCACACTCGGCGGCGGCGGCGGCGGGGGTGCACGACAACTCACTCCCGCCCCAGCCCCCAAGTGAGTGCGTGCACGACTGAGCTGAATCCTCGTCGTCCTCCGCGGCGGACGCAAGCGGGGCAGCGTGGCTCCGTCCACGGGTGGCAGGCAATAGGGTGGCAACAAAGTCCTGAAATGCGTCGGAAAATGCGGTCAACGGCGGGCTGCGCCGTGTACCAGCCTCACCAAGGGTCGAGGTCCTTGCCGAGTCACTGGCGAAGTTGCTGGAGAGGCGTGGTGGGCGCGTGGCGAAGCCGGCAATGACAAAGACGTTCGGCAGAAACGGCAGCTTCCCGAGCGCCAGCTGAATCAACGTAATGCCGAGGCCCCAGAAGTCACTCTCCTTACCATAGACAGAGGCCGCATCAACTCTGTTGGGAGACATGTACGCCAGCGTGCCAACGTACGTGTCGCATTGATTAAACCCCATGCTTTGCAGCTGATCCGAGGAAATACCGAAATCAGTGAGCTTTACCGCACCTGTGTGCCTGTCAAGGAGAATGTTGTGTGGTTTTAAATCACGGTGGAGTTGGCGTATGGTGTCGTGCAGGTACCGGAGACCATGCAAGACTTGAAAGGCAATCGCACGACACTCCTCTTCACTGAAAGGACGACAGCGGCGTGCATTTAAGGCGTCAAAGAGACTCCCACTGTCCATCAGCTCCATCACAATAAACGCACAGCCATCGTCAAAGAAGGCGTCGTAGAAGCGCACCACCCCATTGTAATCAGCGACGTCGCTGTCTCCGTCATCGTCGTTACTGTTGCCGCTCATCCCTCGCGGAGAGGACGGCGTGACCGACGCCGCCACGCCCGGGCGGCTGCTGCTTCCGTTGCCTCTGCCGTCGTCACTGAGTCCGATGCTGCGCCTCAACACGGAAAGCTCACTCTCCACATGCTCCCGTGAGAGTTCCGTGAGGTAAATGCGCTTCACCGCCACCAGCTCCCCTGTGTCTAGGCGTCGCACCGCAAACAACTCCCCACTCGACCCCCGCCCAATCCTTGTCGTGCCGTCCATGCACTGCACCGAGACGATCTTCGACGGTGAGGTGAACTTCGAATGCGTCATCGACAGGGTATTGGAGCACGGCTCCGAGTACATGCAAGGCGAAAACGGACCAGCGCTGGAGTTCTCACGCCAACTCACGGAGCAGTTGACCAGCTGCGGGTCCTCCCACTTCATTCGTAGCATGCGCCTGTTCACGTTTTCCATCGATGGCGGCCTCTCCTGGAGGTGGCTTTGCAGGTAGAGGCAAAGAAGACTCGGCAGTCGCCGACGCCGTTCCCTCCCAAACGTGTCATGCGTGTCCTGCGGTTCGTCCCCCGCAGTCCGTTGAGGCCCGCCTTGGCGAAACGCGGCCTCCGTTGACGTCTGCGAGGATCGGATGGGTTTCAGTGCACTAATCGTGGCGTCCAGGGGAGGAGGCGCACGCACGGAACTGCAGCACGGCCAATGTAGCGCCTTTTTAAATATTGCAAACAATGCGCGCGCGGACATGGAGGTTTCATGAACGCTTCTTAGCAACTCGAGGAGAACGAGGCGCTCCTGCGGGAGTCTCCCTCCGTCCTCCTTCTTGTTATCACAGCTGGAAGAGTCAGGGGTGTTGAGGCGGCTTATCCGCAGGTGCGCCAGAGCGTCATTGTTGGCCCCGAACTCGCGCTCACTCGCCGCGTCCGCCGAGAGGTGCGTCGTCGCTGGTAGCACGTGCGGTGTCGCGATATGCTGCTGCAGCAGTTCGTTGGCGATGACAAAGACCTGCTCATCCTCCGTGGGGTGGTCGACGAAGAACTTGCGGAGGGCGCGGGTGTCGCGCTGCCTCGCCTCCAACGGTGAGGCCACATGGGCCGCGGAGCCACACTCGCCGGGGACGGCGTTGGAGGCCCTCCGCCCCGTCGGCAACTCGCGAAGACAACCGGTCCGGATGTCGCGGCCTCCGCCGGCGCCGCCGCTCGCGTCTGCCGCGGGGTCCGCGTACACGGCGCGGCACTGGCCCGCGTGTCGCGCGTGGAACTGCCGCAGGACGCGGCGCAGGAGCCGCTCCAGCACGGTTTCCCTGCGCTCCCAGCCGGGGACGGCGCTGCTGTCGTTGCTCGCCACGCGGCGCGGGCGGTTGCAGGCGGAGGCGACGTCCCCCCGCTCCGCCTCGTCGGCGACGGCCCCGCTCTCCTCCGTGAGGCCCATCTCCTCCAGCAGCGCCAGCACGAGCGGCCTGCGGGTCAGCGAGTGCACCGTCCGCGGCAGCGCGTTGTTGAAGGCGGGGATGATGTCCGGCCGTGCGGCCTTGTAGGTGCGGAAGGCGAACTGGCGGAGCAGCGCGTTGGTCAATTCCACCGCCTGCCACTGGGGCGGAAGGGCAAAGAACTCCACCACCTCGCCGCGCCCGGACTTGTCGGCGCCAATCACCGCCGCCGCCGCACCTCCCGTCGGCTGAGAGAACTGTGTGTGCGCCGCCTCGAGGATGGCGCCCCCGCGGGAGACGAAGGGAGGCGGGCGCTCGTCAAAGAGCGACCCCTCCAGCGAGAGCCGCGGCAGCCGCGTCCTCATCCCCCGCGACAAACTTCCTCGCCTGTCTCCGTACGTGCAGACCCCTGCGGGTGTATCCTCTCTCTCCCTCTCTC